GTGCTGGCAATTAAGACTAGCAGTGCCTCTCAATGGGGCTGAACAAAGGGTGATTTGGAGTGGAGAGAGAGCTTTGGGTGCAGTGACAGAGTCAAAACGTCTTACAGTTAAAATGTCAGGCTGGACTTTGGGCTCCTTGCTGGCTAGTTGGAATTTGTGGATGTGATTTCCCAACAAAAAAGCAAGACTTTAGAAAAATGTTCCTAAGTCTCCATTTGGCTTTCGGGTGAATTGTGTGGATTTTTTTTGAAGCACCAAATCTGTATGGAAGATGAAATTGCTGATCCTGGGGGCAAATGCCACTAAGGATTACATGGCAGTTGGGGCTGGGGTATTTTATGGGAAAAGCTAACTAGGGACCCTCAAAGGTATCTGTCCTGCCTCATCACTGAATTATCTCAAATGAGCTGCATTTGTCACCCCCATTAGGATGCAAGACTCCATCTGGACAGGGATCCTGTACTTTCTGATCTCATTCTCTGCATAGAATGGGGCTGACCCCAGAACAGGCATTTCACAAATATCCTCTAACTTGATTGCATTCTGATCATGTGCAGTTTGGGGACTTGTTCCAGGGTATTTGGTGTTTTGTTCATCAGTATTAGGGCAGGCCTATGCTGCCATGGGAGGAACACCTCATGTAGCCTTTGGAATCATCATGAAAAGAAGAAAGAAACCTCTGTATCTTAATGGAAAATTGCACCGGTGGTGTGCAGATCAGAAAGTCATTTAATCCATGAACGAAGACACATGGATGGGTAAATTTTATAAACTAAAACAATCTGGCAGATCCCCTGCTGAGAGTGGTTGCTGGTAAGCCTGGTCATGAGTCTGGACTACATGCAGTCTCCATGCAGGACAGTAGGATGTTATGGAATTAGCTGGAGAACCAATGATGCAGGAAGTGTGGGCTCAAGTACTGAACAGAGGAGGCAATCAGCGCCCCTCCCTGCAATGTGCACTCATCACCTAGAGACTCACAGCATGGAGGAGATGCAGCATACGCGGCCTGAGTACCTCGCTTAGTACATGCTCACTGGTGACTGTCTTATTATCTATTATTTCAAGCCAAATGTCTCCTATTCCATGAGAGTATATTCTCCAGTATCATGGCAAATAAGGAACGGTTGGATGTCCTTTGAAGCTTGAATGAAGAAAGCCTTCCAGGAGCTGTTTTTCAGAAACACTGGCAAATGTTTGCCATGGGCAACACTGTGTTTCTTAAGGGCAGGTGGTGAGGCCATTGTCAGGGTTTCCAGGAAGACACATAAGAGCCTGAGCATCATGCAGTCCTAATCCTAGCTCCCAGACTGAGCAAATGTGTAGCAGATTAAATATTTATCTATTGTCCTGTCCACCTCAATAAAACAGGGCACTCTTTAAAGTGGTTGCCTTAATGACATTTGTGTGTCTTGGAATGCCACCCCAGGGCAAACAAACGACATCTGAAAATGTGAAAACATGAAAATCAATAACAAGAAATGAAAAGTTCATTTCACTGATAAAACATCATTTATCTTAATCATTGGGGCTTCTCAGAAATTCCTACGTTCCCTTTTAAATGCCAGCATCAAGGCTAATGCCCACAGTGTGCAGAGGGGAGTCGAGGCAAGAATCCTGATTGCTTGGGCCAGGGAGCCTGCTAAGGAGAAGAATGCTTGTGGGGCAGGTGCCCACTGGACTGGTTTCCAGCCAAGGAGCTCCCAAGCAGGGGTGTCTTCTAATATTTCTGGTATTTCATTTCCAGTGAAAATAAAATAATATACTACTTTCCTATGAAAGATATTTCACAAGACCCTAACTGTGCAACATAAGTGACCCACTTTTGGTAGGCCTTATGTAATAATAATAATTCATGCTGATTAATAAGAATTGGGAAAATGAAATTACTACTCCACTTCCAGAAACGCTATACCTTGCCCTGCTCCCAGGCTGGAGAACAGCATTCCGACTCCCCACATTGAACCCAAATAGGGATGAAATAGTAGAAGTCCTCTGCTAAGCAGGTTGGAGATACTGGTCCCCAGGGAACAGCTTTCTGGAGGTAGTCTCTCCTTTGCTTTACATGTGCAGCCTCATCCAGCCTTCTGGTTTCCTTGTGTGTGTGCAGTCATGTCCGACTATTTGCAACCCCATGGACTGTACCCTACCAGGTTCTTCTGTCCATGGAATTTTTCAGGCAAGAATCCTGGAAATCCTGCTCCAGGGGATCTTCCTGATACAGGGATCTAAACCACATCTCTTGGGTCTCCTGCATTGGCAGGCAGTTTCTTTACCACTCCACCACTTGGAAAGCCCCGTTTGGTTCCTTAGCTCTTCTCAGAAGACCCAAATGTAGAGAGGATGGGGATGGCTTGAGAGCTCCTTCGATCCCTGCAGGAGGTAGAGTATTAGGAGCACCCAGCAGGCCTTGCCTTTGGATAGCACACCCAGGCTTCCTGTGCATGCTTGAGACCAGATTAGCGTGCGTTGGGGAGGAAGCTGGAGCTCCTCTCCTGGGCCCTTTGTTCTCCAGCACAACCATGATAAGGCAATGGGAAAGGCAGTCCATATTACTGACATAGGTTTCTCCAAAGTTTTCCCACACAGTGGCCAGAAGGCTTTTTTAAAAACATACATTGTTTCCCATTTTTCCTATGATAGAATCTGTAATCCTCTTATCTGACACTTCTCCCCTCTCACTCTGTACTCTAGCCATCCTGACTTCCTACCAGTTTGTTTAGGGAACGGAGTCTTCTCCTAACCGGGATCCTGTTCTTAATAGTTCTTTACTTGAATAGCTCAGTGATTCAGGTATCACTTAATTTTTATTTATTTATTAGAATGTCTTTCTTGTTTTCCTTTTTTTATTTATTTAATTTAGAATGTCTTTCTTTTTTAAAAAAAATATTTGTTTTTTTATTTGGCTGTGTCAGATCTTCGTTGCATCATGTGGGATCTTTTGTTCGGTGCACGGACTCTAGTTGTGGCTCGTGGGCTCAGTAGCTGTGGCACACAGGCTTAGCTGCTTCTTGGCATGTGGGATCTTTGTGCCCCGGCCAGGGATCCAATCTGTGTTCCTTGCTTTGCAGGGTGGATTCTTAATCTTTGGATCACCAGGAAACTCCCTCAGGTGTCACTTTAAAATATTACTTTGCCAGAGACCTCTCTTGACCTCAAAATCTAAATGAGACCTCCTTCAGAGTTTTATGTACTTCTCCAAGAGGTCATCTCAATTTGTCAGTACCTTTAATTTGTGATTATTTTTAAGCTCTATGAGTGAGCCTTGCTGGCCACTGGTCACAGTTCACCTAATGCATCGTGGACACTCAATACATACTTCTAGACCATATGGCCTAAGGGTTAAATGAATGGATGAGTTCCACAGAGTACTCAGCCTGCAAATACTTCAGGGACCAAATAGGTCCCATGGTCAAGCACGATTGGGATGCCCTCTTCTGTCTCCCATTAGAGAGTCATAATCTTCACTAGTGCAGGGAACACTGAGTCGGGCTCCAATGAGGAAAAAAAAGCATAAAATAAAACCCAAACTGTAGAAAGGGAGTTTAATTTTCTTTGGCCTCTTGTTTTCTCAACTCAAGGGTGACATATTTTTCACCTCACATCTATTAACTTCCTACAGAATGTACTTTTCAGAGATGCTTCACTGGCGCTTCCTGCCTGGGAAATCTGCAAATCTCAAAAGACGGTCGAGCTTGGGGTGGGGACTGGGCATCCTCCATTGAGCACCCTCGTGGTGCCTGGCTGTCGTCATGAGCACATGTGCAAACACTAAAGGAGCAAAGCATTGGGCATGAGCAAATCTTGTAGCTAACCTGGGTTTATATTTTTTAGGAAAGAGAGAGGAAAAAACAGTGAAAATTCTCTGTTTGCAGATGGAATCTTTGCAGTTATAACGGTGAGAAACTCCTACATTACTCGTCTTTTACTGGAACCTGAATTTACAAGTGTTAGGAAGCTGATGAGTCTACCAACCACCCAGTAATTGCATCTCAATTCAGTTTTCTTGTTCTCAGTATTCGCAGCAACTCTTGAATTTTCCAACCGATATAAGTGAATTTTGGGCGGGGGTGGAGATTGCATGCAATATTAGCATTAGTGGAGGCTTCAGAACACACCCTTTTGGCATCTTTAGTATGTTGTATGTAGGTAGGGTTCTTGAGGTGGGGTTGTAATTAAGTGCAGTGGATCTGAAATTATTTTTGATCAGCCCCTACTTAGGGCAAAACTGCTTAACTTACCGACTCCATCTAGTCTCATTTTCCAGTGGAAAAATAAATTAATGATAATTTAGGGGGAGTGGATTATGTATACATTTGTTCTAGCACTGGAGTATGGATGATTCATATTTGAACCACAATGTATATATGTCTGAGAGTCAAGTTATTGGAAAATTACAGCTCAGGGATACTGTTGATGCAAATAAGCTTCAGTGTACTCTGTTGGGTTAACCAGGAAAACCACAACAAAATAAACTGATAATGATAAAGCTAAGCTAACTGTAATTCATAATTAAAAAGTACCAAGAGCAGCAATTGCAAATAGCAACCAACTCAAGACAACATTGATGATGTGCTGATAAAGAGTCCTTCTCCCAGACTTTGGAAATGTCAGCTCTGTGCCTGCACATGTGAAATTGGAGCCTTCCCATGGAGTAGACAGGCTCTGCATGGGTGGCTGGGCTTGTAGCAGGATACTGTGGGGTACTCAGTAACTTTTAGTATTTTCTGAGTCAATCACAAATTAGTAGCCCTAGTAATATGTACAACTACAAGCTTAATCAAACTGTACACCATTCACCATAATGATCCAAAGGAGGCCTTTAAGAAATAAATTCAGTTGAAGACACAGGGAAATGTTTCTGGTAATGTCCTCTCTACCCCCCACCCCAGTAGGTCCCAGTCTCAACTGTTTAGAACATTACCTCCTTTTGGTGGGGCTTTCATTTTCTAGCTCATACAGAGCAGGGACGTGCATCTGGATTTATAAAGTACTCATAGTCTCAGTTTAATGAGTTTTAATACCCAGTACAAAATAATCTCTAAGATAGAACATTAAATGAAAAAAAAGCAGTGTGCATGATAGTATGTATAATATGCTATTTATGCTTAAAAATGGTCTTATATATGTTGACAGATATTTATATACCTTATATTGTTGGGGTATCTGGAAGCTAATACTAGAAACAGAACAAAATAGTTGCCTCTGGAGACAGGTATTGTCTGCTGGGAAAAAGGAGGGAAGAAGACTGGGTTTTTCACTTAAAAATGGTCTTATATATGTTGACAGATATTTATATACCTTATATTGTTGGGGTATCTGGAAGCTAATACTAGAAACAGAACAAAATAGTTGCCTCTGGAGACAGGTATTGTCTGCTGGGAAAAAGGAGGGAAGAAGACTGGGTTTTTCACTAGATATCCATTCATGCTTTTTGAATTTTGCACAATTTACACATTAATTATCAAAAATATGAAAGAATCTAAATTTAGAAAAGAGGAAAGAAGGATCCAGTGAGCCTACAGAGATTTGATTTTTGCCCCAGCTTTTTTTTTTCTTTTAAAAGAGACAAGGGTTACATTTGGTTTATTTGTTTTCTGATGCTTTTTACCGCCCCCCCCCCCCCCTCAAAAACAGTCATGTATTAAGCAGGAGCTTCCATAATGTAAAGAAAAACCTCTAAATGAGATGGCAGGGTTATAAAACCAGGCCCAAGCCCTGGAATTTCAGAGTAAGGTAAAGACCTTGGTCTCAAAACACCATTTTCTGACAAATTGGACCTGGTATTAAAAAAATTTCCAAGTGTTCTGATGTGTTTTCATATAGTGCATATGTAAAATATAAAAAGGAGTGGTCTTAATAAGTCACTTGCCCACTGTCCATTTGCAGCTTGAATATAAGAAAAAAACACAAAATGGAGACAATATTTGTATAGCAAAGCACATTTAAATGAGTTCATTTCTCTTATTTCATCTGCTTTAGTATTGCTCAAGGAGAAAAAGCAATTATTTATGCTGATTTGCTATCAGGAATTTAAAAAAGAGCAACAGAAATAATACTGTATTTAGTGTTTCCTAATGACAAATGAAATATTTCACTAATTATGTAAAAAAGGATTGTATTCTTTTACACAGATTGACACAAGAGAGTGCATATTCTCTGTATCTTAAATGCTGAGTAATACTTCTTTCTTAGAGTGAAATCTCTCCAGAAATAAGTAGTATATTGAAATTATATGGGTTTTGAGTGACTGCAGCGAGACTGTAGAGTAAGAATTGATGAAAAGCAGGAAGGAATGTTTGGACACGATGGAAGGCCTCCCTCTGGGTGGTGTAGATAGAGATCACGACGAATTCCTCAAATCAGAGAGGGGCTTTGTGCAACTGGGCCTAAAGTAGTACTAAAGTAGGCACAGACATCCAGAGGTGGGGATACAGGCTGCTGTCTACCTAGCATACTTTGGAAAATTCTATAATGAAGATACATCAGTACAAGCTATTACCTATCCCAAGGCTTTGGTCAACTTAGAGTACAAATGTTAAATATCACAAGCCAACATCCCACGGGCTGAGGATGTCCCCGTATGCTAAGTGTGCAAGTATTTGCCCCACGCTTCTTGTCCTCCTAGTCACCCCCCTTCAGCCCCTTTTCTATCCCAGGCCCTGCAGGCTGGGACAACTTGAGCCCTGTATTCCAAACTTGGGTTCATGTAGAGGGGATCCATGTAACCACAAGCCCGCGGGTAACCCACGCAAGGAAACCTACTCAGATTGGGTCTAAATAACTTACATTTTTGCTTGCCTGAATTAGCCAGTAATTGCATGTGGGTAGACTTCGCCAGAAATGGTCTAAATGATCAATTAGAGGGCAAAAAGGAGCTCCTTTCTTTAAAGCTCAAGAGTCCCTGTTGAAGAGCCCTACTTCCCAAGCCCTGCTCGCATGGGCCTGTGCCCAGCTCTCTGCGGTGCCTGGGTATATTGTACATTTGCCTAACGATAATGAATCGAGGACTTATTTTGTAGGAAAATATAGGGCACTTCCATTACATGCAATCAGGCAAAAAGGCTGCAAAATGTGCCACTCCATTAATTTTAAACAGAATCCTTTCCAAATGTCACCCTGAAACCAGAATAAGGGGTTATTACAAATCTGAAGGAATTAAGAGTAATTTTCATTTGTACAAAGGAGTTGAGGGATACGGCTCCTGCCACACACACACTATTAATTGGGCTAAATTTGATTTGCCAATTTCAGTGTGAACCACTGAGTCCTGACTTAGCCTGCCTGGTGCTGAGATCAGGGGATCCTATCTTCTTGGAGGGCACAGGTGCACATGCATGCATATACACACATGCAAATGCAAGTATAGAATGTACAGAGAATGTGACATAATGGGCTAGTTATTAACGAATATGTTCTTCAAAGAAGCAAAACAAATGGCAGCTTCTGGGAAGTCAGGTAACCTCTCTGAGCCTGTTTCCTTATCTGTAAAAGGGGCTGATAACATCATCTTCAGTGGGAGTCGTGAGTATTCACAAGTTGGAGTAGGTCAGAGCACTTAGTGTGGTGCCCAGCCCATAGGTTACACCCATTAAATGGTAACTCTTATCTCTGTTTTCATTTTCTGAGGGTGGGTGAGTGGGTGGGTGGGCTCTTGTGCCTAAGCCGGTTCCAGATTACACAAAAGGAAATCTGGACCTGGAACCAGGTTGGGACAACCTTCACAAGCCATTGTGGGGTCAGCCTCAGAGCCTAGGAGGTCAGGTCAGCCCACTGAGTCACTGGTGATTTCCTTCCTGATCTCAGTTCCCTGTATCTCTGGGAAAAGAGCAGCCGGACTTGGAGGAGAGCGCAGAGCAGGAGACAGGAATAAGCAGGATAAGGCGGCTCTGGGGACGGTCCAGTCTGACGCTCACTCCACATTCCGGTACTTGGTGAAGAGGTTGTACAGCACTCGCAGCGTAGATTTCAGGTCACAGTTGACGATGTCTGCACAGGATACAGAACAAAAAACACATTGTTTCAGTGGCGTCCAAATTGGCAGTGGTTGTCCCCTTCCTCCCGCCACCCACCACGGGTGCCCAGCATGTCCCAGGGAAGGGGTGCGCTCTCTCCCACAGGATGTCACTGTGTGCTCCTGAAAAGCCAGCTCCCTGTCCTCCTGGGACAGAAGAGCATCCCCGCAAGATGACCAGGGGCAGGTGGGTGTTGAAGAATGATGGGAGGGCTGTGCAGCAAGACTTCAGAGCAGGGGGCAGTGAGGGGCAGAGGTGCTGGGGTGTGGGTGTTGCACCTCTCACTGAGAGACAGCGGGCCCCAGGGCATGCAGCCTTTGCCCTGGAATCAGCATCTCAGGTGCGAGGACCCTGACCCGACTCTGTCCCCTGGTCTCACCTGTGTCTGGGGGCCCCTCTGCCTTTACCCTGCACCACAGAGCCAGCTGTGAGTGGTGGAAAGGAGGGGACGGTCTGGGGCTACAGTGGGGGATGAGGCGGTGGCTTAGGACTAAGCCACCTCTCCTTTAAGAAGGGAGGGTGGGCCCCTAGATGGCATAGGAGCCCGCCTGGCAGGGAATACTGGGTAGATAGGTGTCATCTGAAAGGTTAAGGACAGAGCAAGGTGGCTGGGTTTGAGACTGGGGAGCTGGACTCTACTATCAGGAGAATTCCATGCAGGTCCTGAACTTTCATGCAACCATTTCCTCCCATCCTCACTTCCCCTGTCCCCTCCCTCTGTTCCTCTCTTCACTGGTCACTTTCTCTGGCTGCCTCGCTAACCGTCTGCTGACGCTGGCTCCTCCATCTTCCCTCCATTAGGCTCTGCTCTGGTCCCTGTGCAATCATGACCCTGCTGGACAGCCTTCCCTGAAGAACCAGCATAGAGAAAGCATAAAGAAAGGGCCTCTTTGCCTACTATAGGGCTACATGTTTGTGCGTGCTCAGTCAGTTCAGTGGTGTCCAACTCTTTGTGACCCTATGGACTGGAGTCTGCCAGGCTCCTCTGTCCACGGAATTGTTGAGGCAAAATCCTGGAGTAGGTATTGCTATGCCCTCCTCCAGGGAATCTTCCTGACCTGGGGATCAAACCCGTGTCTCTTGCATCTCCTGCACTGCAGGTGGATTCTTTACCCACTGAGCCACCCGGGAAGCCCATATAGAGTTACAGACTGTAATTATAAGGAAAAGTTAAAAAAAGAAAAAGGTAAAAGCCTGATGACTATACAAGGCAGGAGAGTTGGGGTTGAGGAGTACGTAAGGCCAAAAAGGGCAAGTAGAGGGAAATTTCAGGAGCTGGGGTGGCTGTTTCCCTTGAACTGGATGCTAGCTACAGGTGGCTTGTGGAATATTCCACTAACCCACACTTTTATGTGCCACTCTGTTTATATGATATTTTTCATAGTAAAGGTTATTAGAAAAAAAACCCTAGCTGTGCAGAAGGTCAGATGAAGTAAATGATGTCAGAGGATAGAAAGTAATAAATGCTCTAGGATTCAAAAGTGGGAGAGGGAGGCTGAGCTGCTGTGAGAGAAGGGTTTGGGGACAAGTCAGGGCTCCAGCAGTGGTCTGGTGAATAGGAATGGGGATCATTCAGGACCAGCAGAGTGGCAGGCGGGGGCTCCAGCGGCTCCAGGTCTTAGCCTGGGGACTCTGGCAGTTGTGGCTACTGCCATAGTCAGGTGTGCCCAGGTCCCAGCACTGCAAAGATTAAGACCAATTGGGCCATAAGCCGAGGGCCTAGGACTCGGGAATCTCCTTAGGGCTCCGTCAACTCCTGGAAACCCTCCTGCCTGCTCCTGCCCAGGCCTTGTCTCCATTGTACACCAATCCCGCTCCACCCTGCTGGGCTCAGACTCTGCTCCAAGCTCGCTTGCTGATAGACCAGCGGCTCAGGGACCACCCGCCAGGCCTGGAGCGCAGCCCCCTTTCTCCTTCCGTGTTGGTTCCTGCACAGGTCTGAGCCTCTAACTGGGATCCTGCCCTGTAGCTGAGACCTGCTACCTCGCCCTGTTCAGGCTGAATCACTTTCTGCCAAATACAGTCCCATGTCCTCTGGGCTAATTCCTGTCCTCTCCTTACTGCTTGATGTTGAGTGTTCCTTAAATTCCACCCAAGTCAAAGATTAGGGAGTTAGCCTAAGGAGGAACTGCTAGAGAGGCAGACAGGGGCAAAGGTGAGCTCAACAAGGGAGTGTGTGAAGGGGCAGGTAGGGTAACACTGGTTCCTAACTGGGCTCCTCAAAGCCTCTTGCCCTCTCCTGTCCATTGTACTCATTGCAGCTTGACTACTTGGTTTCTGGGTCTGGTTGTACAAGATGCACACTCAATGGTACATTATTCACATTTGCACAGTGTTACCATAGACAACAACATAACTCTGGTCTTAGGAGGTTTACCTGCTGGCTGAGATGGTAAAGAATGTGCCTATAATGCAAGAGACTCAGGTTCGATCCCTGGGTCAGGAAGATCCCTTGGAATAGGGAATGGCTTCCCACTCCAGTGTTCTATGGACAGAGGAGACTGGTGGGCTATAGTCTGTAGGGTCTCAAAGAGTCAGACATGACTGAGTGACTAACAGGAGGTGTCCAGCTCACAGCTTGTATGGTCATACAGTTATGTCACTTAAAAGTCCAAAATCCTCATCCACGGTTTTACAGGGCAAAAGCTGACTCCAGCCCACCTCTCCAATCTCACGTCATGCCATGTTCTGCTCATTCACTCTGCCTGACCACACTGGCTTTCTTTTATAACCTCCCAATAGGCTGTCCTCCTCCATTATCTTAGCCTCTGCACACACTGTTAAACATCTAGATTGTTCTTCCCAAGTAGCTGACTCCTGATCCTCTTGTAGACCTCAGCTCAAAGCACTGTCTCCTCCGTGAAGCCTTTCTGAGACCTGGTCTTGGTGAGGGCACCCTGTCTTATGTTCTCAAAACTCCCACACTCTTCCTTCACAGCACTCTCTCCATTTCTAAATCAATGATTTGTGTGCTTATTTGATGAAATCTGTCTCTGCCTGGACTCTGAGCAATGTGACTGCAGAGAATTGACCGTGTTTTGCTCCAGTGCCTGGGTTGGTACCTGGCATGCACAGACCTCAGACATGTTAATAGGAGATAAATGAATGAACTGATGTTGAAGCTGAAACTCCAATACTTTGGCCACCTGATGCAAAAAGCTGACTCATTTGAAAATTCCCTGATGCTGGAAAAGATTGAGGGCAGGAGGAGAAAGGGGATAGAGGATAAGATGGCTGGATGGCATCACCGACTCAATGGACATGGGTTTGGGTGGACTCTGGGAGTTGGTGATGGACAGGGCGGCCTGGCATGCTGCAGTTCATGGGGCACAAAGAGTTGGACACGACTGAGTGAACTGAACTGAATGAATAATTGCCCAATGTCCTGGAAGTCAAGAAAGAAAATTCCAGAAAGAGGGGATGACTAATAGAGCCATATGCTCCCAAGAGGGTAAGAGCTGGAAAGAGTCTCGGGGACACAGTCCTGCTGGTGGCTTGGGAGCGAGCGTGGCCATGTGCAGGTGGAGGCAAAGTGTTCACAGCAGAATAAGCAGTGGACGTGGGTGCAAAGGAGGAACTCGGGAGCCTGATGAGGGACAGACACGGATGGAGGTGAGAGGATTTGTTTTTCTCCTTTAAAGATAGGTGAGTTCTAAGGTTGCTTGAGAAAGAAAATAGCCAATGTGGGAAAAGGTTTCAAAATGACCATTTAAGCTAATTAATTTTATTTCTTCTTTTATTGAAGTAGGTTGGTTTATAATATTACATTAGTTTCAGGTATGCAACATAGTGATTCAACATTTCCATAGAGTATACTCCACTTAAAGTCATTAAAAACAATGGCTATATTTTCCTGTGCTGTACAGTACATCCTTGTTGTTTGTTTATTTTATACAGAGTAGTTTGTATCTGTTAATCCCCTACTGCTCTCTTGTTCCTCCCTCCTTCCCTTTCCTTCCTGGTAACCACTAGTTTGTTCTCATATCTGTGAGTCTCTGTTTTGTTGTATTCATTCATTTATTCTTTAGATTCTACATATGAGGGAGATCATATAGTACTTGTCTGTCTTTAGCTTATTTCACTAAGCATAATATTCTGTAGGTCCATCCATGTTGCTGAAAATGGTAGTATTTCATTTGTCTTCATGACTGAGTAGTATTTCATATTATACATATACCACATTTTCTTAATCCATTGATTTGTTGATGAGCACTTGGGCTGCTTCCAGGTCTTGTCTATTGTAAATAGTGCTGCTGTGAATATCAGGTGCATGTATCTTAGAATTAGAGATTTCATCTTTTCTAGTTACATACCCAGCAGTGGTATCGCTAGATCATATTTAACTTCAACTTTTAGTTTTTAAGGAAGCTCCATACTATTTTTCATCAGTTCAGTTGCTCAGTCATATCCAACTCTGCGACCCCATGGACTGCAGCATGCCAGGCTTCCCTGTCAATCACCAACCCCTGAAGCTTGCACAAACCCATGTCCATCGAGTCGGTGATGCCATCCAAACATCTCATCCTCTGTCGTCCCCTTCTCCTCCTGCCTTCAATCTTTCCCAACAAGGTCTGACTTTTCCAATGAGTCAGTTCTTCGCATCAGGTAGCCAAAGTATTGGAGTTTCAGCTTCAGCATCACATCTTCCAATGAATATGCAGTACTGATTTTGTTTAGGATTGACTGATTGGATCTCCGTGCAGTCCAAGGGACTCTCAAGAGTGTTCTCCAACACCACAGTTCAAAAGCATCAGTTCTAAGCTCAGCTTTCTTTATAGTCCAACTCTCACATTCACAGATGACTACTGGGAAAACCATAGCTTTGACTAGACAGACCTTTGTTGGCAAAGTAATGTCTCTGCTTTTTAATATGCTCTCTAGGTTGGTCATAACTTTCCTTTTAAGGAGCAAGCGTCTTTTAATTTCATGGCTGTAGTCACCATCTTCAGTGATTTTGGAGCCCCCCAAAATAAG